CATAAGTGGAGTCCGACTGGGTCAGACCAAAGGCCAGCCTAGTCCAGCATCCTTTTCTCACAGTGGCCAACAAAGTGCCTATAGGAAACCTACAAACAGGATTCATGCTCAAGAACCCACTCCTCCCTGTGGGCTCCAACCACTGGTATTCAGAACCATTGCTGCCCCCGACCATGGACACAGATCATAGCCATCATGGCTAGTAGAACAATGGACATCAAAGGCCTTGAAGTTGCCCATCAAAAACAGCACTTGGACCACAGACTGAGTAGGCAGGAAGCTGCCTTGCACTGATTGAGATCATTGGCTCAGTATTGTCTACAGTGATTTGACAGCTGCTCTCCAGGGTTTCAGACAAGAGACATTTTCCCTGACCCTCCTTTCAAGTGCCAGCAGCTGAACCTTCGGCATACAAAGCAGATGTTCTGCTGCTGAGCTTACTATCATTCTATTTAATGATAGTAAGCATTTCCAAATGTTCAATCATACCTCTAAATTAGCATATGTAATTGGTGTCCTATTTTTGTGGGTTACGCATTTCTTCTTTTTTGACCTTGCATGACCTTAAGAGTGGGGTCTTGGAGTCTACCCTAAAGTCTTGCCCTGATATCACCTTTGTATCCTGGTCTGGTGCACACCAGTGAGTGTGGCAGGAGGCAGAGGAGAACAGGACTGAGGAAGAAATGAGCAGGAGAAGGAAGCGATAGCTTTCTGTGCACCAGGAGATGCAAAAGTTTGGTGAGCAGAGCCTGAGATGTGAGCTGGCAACTCCCCATTCTGCTCCCTTTCCCGGAAAGTGTTGAATATTGAAAATGATTTCCTCTCTCACAAATGATGGGTCTTCCACTTGTGGCTCTGAGCCCCATTAATTCATCTATCATTCAAAGCAACCTAGCCAAGGTGGTTCCACAATTTAGCTTCTGTGAAGCCACTGCTGGAGATGTTTCCTCCATGCTGAAGTTCCTGGGTCTGTAACACCTTTAGACAAGAGGGGATTTGTAGAGGAGGAGCCTCTCCCAGCTCTGGTGTTACCACCCGTGCCTGTCAAAACTTCCCTCTTCTTAAAGAAATAGCATTGGATCAAACCAGGGCTGACCCAAGATGTTTTGCTTCCTGAGGTGAAAGGGAAGGTGTGTAGCTCAGCAAAAGAGCAACTGCTTTGCCTCCAAAAATGGTTCCAGATTCAATTCTTGATGCCTCCAGGTAGGGCAGACAGGATATCCCCTGTCTGAAACCCTGGAGAGGCACCAGATGAGGCAGAGGGATGAATAGATCAGGCTTGGTATAAGGACGCTTCCTATGTTCCTATGAAGGATGGGTTGGCATTCACAATCTTGAATCTTGCTTCAACACTGGCAAAGGGGCAGTGTCCGCTATGGCACTTGAGGGCAGCAATCTACCAGGGAAGCACAGAGTATCCTAGGCAGCTCACTTCTCCAACATCCCTTCCTGCCACTCTCAGCAGCCATTACTTGGGGTGGGGGCCTCAGTTTGTCTAACGTTAAAGTCAGCCCTGTTTCAGCCTCACCTGAGGAAGGCTATATGGCCACATTAATTGTGGTCAAATATTATTGCTCCCCGCACCCCTAGTTTGACTCTGCATGTCTGTAATTAATTGAGGAGACAGGGGTTGGACATCCAAGGAAAATTCCTTGTTTGTCTTCCACGGTGTGTCTCCCAAGGGTTTTTCAAGAGTGCTTTTAATTAGAGAAGACGACGAAAAGGAGGATCAAGGAAACCGCATGAAGAGTTTTCCTCCTTGCATCTGCCTAGGTATCAAAAAAGGAAGAAGTCTTTTTCCTGCTGACTGGCTTATCAGCTTCCAAAAACAATAACTATCTTCTTCTGTGGCAGTGAAGGAAACCCTTATCACCGAGATTCAGCATTTAAAAAGACCCACAAGGGGAATTTCTTGTTTAATAAACTGAATTCGGAAAAGGGCTATTTTTAGTCAGGAAGTAGCACAGTGTGCCTTCAAGTATAATGAGCAGCAAGCATGCAGTTCAGGGTTATGCAGCCAAACCAGTAAAGAATTTAAAGGTGGAAAGGTTTATGTTTGTTATGCATGCAATCCAACCACGCTCACTTAATAAGAAAGTGCCATTTCTCTCTCTCTCTAAATTCTTACCTTCTGTGTACAGAATATTGATGCTTACTTGCTACCTGTACATTTTGGAGGCACAATATTTTCTGTGAAGGCAAGAACTTCCCTAGCATAGACTGAATTTGGAAATGTGGAAACTTTTATTTTGTTGAGACTTAATGGTTTCAGGTGCCATGAAGCCATGTTTTCTGGGCTGCTACAAAACATTTATGATGAGGCCAATAAATACATTGGATGGAATATGCTCTTGGAGTGCTCACCATAACACTAAGGGTATTATGCAGTTACATAGAAGAATGGGATTTTCTATTGGGCACTGATTTCCGCATTCTGAAAACAACTGCTTCATGCTTGAAAATTTAAACTTTGTGCAAAGTCATCCCTTTTGTTTAAAGTGCCTTTCCCAAAGTGCATCAAATGGAAGAATCTGTTTTATTTACAGTGCCAAATTTAGTTGATAACAAAAGTTATTTTAGGGACGTATGCAAAGTTTGCTTGTTTGTAGAGAACTCATATTCCACACTTTCACTGTAGCCTCAGTACTCAGGACAGTATGCAACAAAAAAATAAATAAATCATAAAACACAACAGTAAAATGAAAACACAAGCAGCAAAATGAAGATAAGATTTTACTTGATTTTCCCTTTGAAAGACAGAGGCTTCTATCCAATGGAGACTCTCTGCTAGCAGAAAGTGGATCAGCTTATGCAAAGCAGTTCACCCAATTTCTGTAGAATTTCCCCACCCACTATATGTCCCTCCATCCCCCCCCAAAAAACTGCGCCTGACTGTTGCAGGCCTGTTGGGAGGATATGGAATATGTAGGGAGAGCTGCAATAGGTATTTCCTTTATCTATATATATTAATTTAAAAATAATACTCCTCTTTTCACTATATTTACTAAATTGGCCTTTCACTATATGAGTCAAAGGTAGTGTTCAGGGTGGGGGAGAGCAGGAAGGGATCTGTGAAAATCAGTGGCATCTGGTAACTACTGGAGCTGGTGGGACAATGAGCAAGGTAACTCATGGAACACGGAGGCAGGCGCTCCCTGGAGGAAAGTCAAGTTATTCTGCCTTTCTCTTCATCCCACCCCCTTTCAAAGATACAGTGGACACTAAAGCAATTCTCAGACACAAGCGGCAGATTTTTGAGACCAAAGAGAAAAGTTGGACACCTAGAAATTGTATATTTCTAGAAGTTGGCATCAAACACCTAAATATTCTTGTGATTTCTTAGTTCGGCTTATACCAGGAGAGAGAAGGAATGCTCCAGGGAGTCTCTGAAGGAAAAGAAATATATGGACGTGACTGCTGTGCTCTAGCCATGGATTTTTAGGGTGCAGAAAAAAATAATGGTGGGGATCTGACCTACTTTTCCCTAGGGCAGGCTTCCTCAACCTCGGCCCTCCAGACGTTTTTGGCCTACAACTCCCATGATCCCTAGCTAGCAGGGCCAGTGGTCAGGGATGATGGGAATTGTAGTCTCAAAACATCTGGAGGGCCGAGGTTGAGGAAGCCTGCCCTTGGGAATAGCCTTCCCTGGTGAATATCAGGTTCCATGCTTTGCACGAGCACTTTCTGCTACTGCAAAATCAACACTGGGTACCATCTGTATTGTATACTTAATGTCATTAGCTGCATGTGGCTTAAGATGTAATAAATATATGGATTTCTAGAGTCCAAAAATAGAAGCCTTGATCCTGCTGAAATTAACTCCTTTTTTGTCCCATTGATTTCAGAGGGAGATGGTTAATTTATCCTATTGAAATCAATGGGATCTAAAATGGCTTAAACTTTGGGTGGATTGATCCTCATTTTTCCTCTCCTTTCAGTGTCATCTTAATTATGAGCAGAAACTTTGCTGCGAGTTTGACTTTCTCATATATAAAGCAAGTTACTTCTCATAAATCACTGGCAGGCGTTGGCAACCTTAACTCTGTTTTGATACAGTTTTGTCTGGAAATTAACAGCAATAAGAAAAGTTATCCAGGCTCACTCCTACCGTTATTTATCAAAAAGGAAAGAGAGAACCCAGACGGCAAATTAGTTTTGAGCCTTTAAAGCTGACAGGTATTGTCCGTAATGAGGCCGACACCTTCAGAAGGTCAGAAAGTTTCTGGCAAAGTGTTCGCTGCAGTTCCCATAGTGCCTGTTTGATGACCCATTAAAAATGTACTTCTCCAAATGTCAGTTTAAGAATGTATAAAATAGGAGTTTAAAGACCACTAGAGGAAGGTATTTTGGTTACATTTCCTGGCTCTGAAGCTTTTCCAGTTCTTTCCTCCTTGAGATTCCTTGTCAGAGGGCCAATGCCAACACACTGGACTTTTGTACAATGATGGCACTACCAGTGATCCTGAACTAACAGATGCTCACATGTGATGGCTATTCTGTTTAAATCCATGCTTGTGAAATTCTAAGAAAATAAGCAAAGTGGGGATATAACTCAGGATGAGCCAGTCTGTGCTGGATCAATTCCAATGGAGGTTTACCTGTGGATTCAAGTTCTGATGCATCCTGCTGTTGAGAATATTGCTGCACTGCATGTACATGCATATTGCAATGCACAACTGACTTCTGTTGAGCTGGCCAGATGCTATGGCAGGCATAGGCAAACTCGGCCCTCCAGATGTTTGGGACTACAATTCCCATCATCCCCGACCACTGGTCCTGTTAGCTAGGGATGATGGGAATTGTAGTCCCAAACATCTGGAGGGCCGGAGTTTGCCTATGCCTGTGCTATACAGTATATGCACTCCTCTGGACCTACTGGTTATTGCACATGCGTACTGTAGTTGTTTATAGCCTTTGCCGAGCCTCCTTTACAGATTCAGGTTCTCCAATTGTTCAAAACTATATTTCTAATTCCTGTGTCTCCTCATCCCTAGATTAAGGGAAGGTGCATAGCTCAGTGACAGAGCATCTGCTTTGCATGCAGAAGGTCCCATGTTCAATCCCCAGCATCTCCAGGTAGGGCTGGGAGAGAACCTCACCTGAAATAATGGATTACCATTGCCTATCAGTGTAGACAGTGCAGAAATAGATAGACCAATGGTCTAACCCAGCATAAGGCAGCTTCCGATGTCTTATGATGACTGCACCTAGCAGGAGTGCGAACTTGCCCCCGTGACCATGGGTGCCTGGGGCCGTGGGTGCCATGCAATGTGCATGGCCCTGGCACTGAAATTTGTGGGTGCCCAGGCCATTCATGGGGAATTTTGTGGGCGCTCGGGCATCCAGGGTCCCAGGGATGCTGCCCTTCATCCAATGATACACGACCATGTTACCCATTCAGTTCAGGTGCTTCAGAGGTAGTTGCTGCGCTCACTTCACCACCTCTGAAGCACCTGAACTGAATGGGGGTAACATGGCCCTGTATCATTGGATGAGGGGCAGCATAGAAGTTAGATGATAGATAGATGATAGATAGATGATAGATGATAGATGATAGATGATAGATAGATAGATAGATAGATAGATAGATAGATGATAGATAGATATAGATAGATGATAGATAGATAACGCTCCTCCTGATGATACCAGTTCACAGTCTGGGCATATTCCTGGACTCATCCCTGAGCATGGATGGCTAGGTATCTATGGTTGTCAGGAGTGCATTTGCGCAGTTAAAGCTAGTGCGCCAGAAGTGCCTTTTTCCTGAAATGTCTGATTCGGCCACAGTGACACACGCCTTAGTTGCCTGCCATTTGGATTACTGTAATGTACTCTACCCGGGGCTGCTGGCTAAACAGCTGCTGCCAGATTGTTGGCTGGGGCTGGTTATAGGGAGCGGATGACTCCCTTGCTGGAACAGTTCCACTTGCTACTAGTCTGTTTCCAGGAACAATTCACAGTGTTTGTGAAGACCTATAAAGCCCTACATGGCTTAGTTCTAGTGGTGTGCGGACAGTGGACTAGGGGGACTAGGCTAGTTCCCTAAATGTTCCCAGTAAATTAGAGTATTGAAGTATTATAGCCTGGTGCTCCCTTCCTGGTGCCCAGGAAGCTTCTGCCCAGCTTAGGGAGGCGCGATGCTCATGCGCATCTCTGGCCCTAACTGTTCCTCTATGAAAAAATGCACCGCATGCCACTGCTTAGTTCCAAGCTATCTGAAATACCACATTCCTTTATATGAACCTGCCTTCTCAGTGGCTGCTCCCGGACTTTGGAACTCCTTTCCTAGAGAAGTTAGGGAGGCTGGCTCCCTCCTCGTTGTTCTCCTGCCGATAGGTGAAGACTTTCTTCTTCCAACAGGCTTTTGGGAGCTGGCTGCTTTTATTGAAAGGGCTGCTGCTGTGTTGTTTTTACTGTAATTATTGGTATGCTTAAAACAGATTTTATATCTGCATATCATTTTAATTCTGCCAATATTTAATTGTCTTTAAATGATTTCTTTTACTGTGTTTTTAGTGGTTTTTAAATTTATCTGTAAGCTGCCTTGAGTCCTGTCAGGGAAAAGGGTCTTTCATTAGATTATTGCATCCTTTAACTGATAGGGGGATGACTGGATGGGAAAGATGCTCATGATTTCTCCCTCATATGGGGCTTTGGTATTTTTGCATATACTGTGGGATTACAACTTGGAGGAGTGCTGACTGTACATGCAAATCAGATCATTTGCTACTGGGATATGGGGCTGGGGGTGCGTGGGGAGAAAATAGGATCCAAATGTGGATGTCATCATGAAACATCAATGAACAAAGTTGTGCATTCTCAATGGGACACATACTCACTCTGCTATTACATTTAGGAATTCTTTTTCCAATAAATCCTTGACCTTTTGTGAGTTTACTGAGATTTCCAAAAAAAGAGCAAACAATGTAAGAACAATGTTTATGGATCTTCAGACTCCAAGAGCTTTAATAGTTCATAATATTAACATGAAAGGTCAAAGAGTTCACATAGCTTCTGGCTTGTATAGTCAAATAACATTTAATATTTCTGTCAAATTTTGTCGCTTAATTTTGCTATTACAGTTTCCATTAGGAAGCTACATTTTGCAGATGTTTTGCATACATAGCATTTGTTGTATAAAAAAGCTGTATTTTTTGAAATGTACGCCCACAGGTTTTATGCATTTGTCAGTATTATTTGATATGAAATTACTTTATAGCCATGCATGTATTTTTTTAAAAAAATAAACGAACCTCTGTACAGAGTTGAAAAGTCTTATTTCATGTGTTTGTCATAAGATATTCTCAGAGCTGAAAGCTTTTTTTTTTTTAATCATGAGGACACATTTTCCCCTCACTAACTCCACATCCCCAAGGTTTAAAGAACAGAAGGAACAAAAGATACTCAATGACTTTACAAATTACTTTTCTTGACAGAAACATGCAAGTGAAAAAGTGGCCTTTCTTTAGAAAAAGTGGATGCCTCCCATACAAGTTTCAGGAGGAAGGAAACTCATTGACTCACATCCTTCAGATGTTATTGCTAAAAATTAATGAGCTACATTGAGTGACAATGAAGAGTTCTGATATGACTTCTTTGATTGAATGGAACCTCATTAGGAAATCAAATCATTTTTGTATCATAATGTGTTTTGACAATGAGCATGAATACTATTGTATCAGGGGGATATCACTCTTCCCCTCTTTTTTTTAATAATAAAAAAGATTAATCTTCTGAAGTCCGGTGTCCTAGTTGAAAACTGAACTTGCCAAAATAAAGGAAGGGAACAGTATTCACTCTTCCTTATTCTACCATTTTAAATACCACTTACTTATGCCACCGGGAATTTTAGAACAGCCTTTCACTTTGATTACCTCCAAACCTTGTGAGTCAAAGTAACGGAAAATCCACTACTGTGCTGCCCTGGAGGCAGAGGACAGGTTGAATCACAATGTAGTCTTTTAATATCTTCTGGCTGCAGCAATGAGGATGAGGAACAAAACTTCAGTTCACTTCCTGGCTTCTTATTTATTAACAATATTATACTTTTTTTCCAAAAGGAGCACATGCCAAGGAAACCTTTTGGATGGCTCAGTGGTTAAAACACAACGGCTGAGTTTTCAAGAGACTACTGGTATGTCCCACTTCTGGGGTAGGGCTTCCTGACTAGCCATTACGCTACACTATGTGTAGGTCATTATACAGTACATACCTTCATTCTCCGCCTTCTCTCCAACAGGGATGGAGCTTAGTAATATGATGCCCTGTGCAAGGCCAAAATTTGGTGCTGCCTTTGGGTAAGGGAGGCACCGGGCTTTGGCAAGGAGGTACTCGGGCTTTGGCAAGGAGGTACTCGGCTCTGGTAGGGTTCTAGAGTCCTCCCACCTCCTTCTCAAAGCCCAGCGCCTACTAGGCATTGGAAAGGAGGTTAGAAGGGACCCCCTTGGCCCTTGCACCATGTGGAACTGGTCGTATTGCCCTAAATCCATCTCTGTCCACAACCTGGTAGAAGACATCAGGTTATGTAAGAACATTAATTAATTAATTAATTAATTAATTAATTAATTAGATTTATATACCACTTGACTGCAAAAAAACAAACACACCTCAAAATGCTTCACAAAAAGAATTAAACAGAAACAGTTAAGCTTAAGAAGACTCCTGCAGAGCTGGACCAAAGGGGCACTGACCTGGGACATCCCCTCATCATCTCTCAGCTCAAAATTCTCCAAAGGTTTTCCTTTCCTTTCTTTCAAAACATATTGAGGCTCCATTATGAGGTTCATACATAACGCGTTTTATTTTTTAATATAAATTCTTGACTGATTGATAACACAATATGCCAGACTAATTACATGTGAAGTCAATTCTGCAGTTTTCAGATTTAGTTAATTCATTCTCTTTAGGTCCTCCTCTGATTCACTTGAAATACTGTGGAGATATTTTTACCTCCAAATATATCTTGTAAATATAGATAACAGATGTGTTTTACAGAAAATATAGGGTTTTGAAGACTTCAGGCTTGATGTGAAAGCAGTGTCAAGGAGATAGTGAGCTATTATTCTTTTTGACTCTTAGAAGAATTATCTATCAAACTAATCAAGTACTTAGATCTGATTTATTTTTCCAATTTAATTTCCAAATGAATAAATTGACCCAGTCCACAGTTTCAATCAGCCAATAGTGTTTTAAGTTGTGCATACCACATTTGTAAAAGATAGTATGACAGTAGCTGACTCGAACTGTTTGTTAGGGTATCCTAAATGAAATTAAGCACAATCTCACTCCCATCTAATGACCCACCTTCCATGATTTATTGGCTAAGCAAAGTGAGGCCTTGAGGTTAAATTGATCATCCAACATTCCTTTTCATAAATTTCTTTGTAATGTGATAACTCTTGTTGAACACTGAGATAGTGGAATATGCTATGGTGCATAAGTCTACACCTTTGGTTAGAATATCCAGGTCCAAAGTCAGCACTGGGCTTACTGGGGCATTTGCAGACCCTCCAAGTGTCCCTATTTTCCAGGCAATAGTCCTGGATTTACAGAAGCTGTCCCAGTTTCTGGTTTGATCCTGGAATGTCCTGCTTTTCCTTAAGACCTCCCTATTTTCATTGGAGAAATATTGGAGGTTAGGGAACAGGAAATGTGTACATATACAGTCTCCTTTCAACTACGAAGTTCTGTGCATTGGAACACAGGGAGCTGCCTTGTTTTGAGTCAGATCATTGGCCTATCTAGTTCAGTATTGTATACACTGATTGGCAGTGATTTTCTCTGGGGTTTCAGGCTGGGTTCTCTTCCCATCCTTTATGGAGATGGATGCCATAGACTGAACTTGAGACTTTCTGCGCATAAAGCAGATGTTCGACAACTGAGCTACAGCCCTATTTTAGAAATAGTATCAGGGGCTCTGAAATCCGTTCAGTGTGCTGCTGTGTTCTCAGTGTTGAGGTAAAACTGGCTGCATGTGACAGCCCACGTGACTGAATGCTCCTCTGTACAAAAAAGAGAATCTGCTCACAGAAAACTAATTTTCAAGAAGACAGACAGGTTAGAACACTTCTTCCTT